GGCTTAGGTAACCTATTATGGGATGGGAACATTGAAATTCCTATTCAGTGCATCTTGAGGATTACGAAAATGTAAGTTAAAAAAATACATCATAGGGGTGCATGGGAACACTACCTTCCGACTAGACTATACCCACGGGTAGCAAAACTGAGCTGGTTGAGGTGGGTAGTGGGAAAACGTCACTTTCAAACTTCATTTGTTTTGGTTTGTTTTGTTTTTGTTTCTTTCACCATTAAAATAATAGTTTTGTCAGACTCTTGCATGGTATCGAAATAAAATTTCACGGAAGACACGGAATCAGATTTGAACTAAAAAGGTAACAATATTACTAATTAAAACGTTTTTGCTCTTGATGGGTATGTTAGCTTTTTTTTCTTTCGCTTTCCACATACCGGTTAAATTTAAGGAATACTTCAAGGTAGGCTAGCTTACCAGATGAAATTTTGGCCACGGATTATCCAAGTACACATATCCTTTAGCAGTCATAAGATTTTGGGGAGCAATATGGGCATCAGCATTGTTTAACTCGCACAGAAAATTAACCCAGTCGAAGTTTACGCTTCTACACCGTGTTTGCTTGTTGCAGATATCAATGCATTCTCCAAGGTTTCGAGCATCTTGTACTAGAAATGCAAGTCCCAGTAGCCGAGAATTTGGGACTGATGACGTTTTATTGCATCCTGGTTCTTCGCAACTTGCAACGGAAGGGATGATAAAGACTAACACAGGAATGGCAAACATTACCGAACTACCGACAAAGTTCAAACGTCGCCCAAGGTTCACACACGCACATATCTACTATTAACAGAACTTAACAGGAACTCGTATAAGAGATGTTTTGCGACATATCATCTCAGTGGGGCGTATAATCCTCACGCTGCAAATCATAGATTAGAACGCAGTTTCAATTGGTGGTTCACGGAAGATAAAACACTTCTTTAAATATTCTGTTGAAAATTGCCCTCCTATTTGGTGAGTCTTCGGGTAACTTCAATATTTTATGAATACTGGATAACGTCCTGTGTCAACAAGAAATGGTTATAGGAAAATGATAGTTTGGCAGTAATGTTACTACGACATGTTAAAGGAAATAAAACTGCTGGAGTAATGCTAGAAAGCTCGCCAAAATTCTCTTACACTGTCTTATCCGGTAATATGTTTTACGCTTACGTAATACGAAAGTTAATTTAATTTCCCTTAGCTGACTCACAGCAGGCAATCAAGCCACCTGTAAATATAACTTAGACTGACTCAAACACACAGACAGGCGTCCCAAACGCAATTGTAATATACTGCGTAATTTAGTGATGAAAACCAATCATCGCCTTAGCTTATCGCGTGTAGCAAATAGAAAATAAGACAGGAACGCAAAACTAGCCCAAATCGCTTCAAAGACAGCAAACGTTTCTTATTTCTTTGAAAAGCGATAAGCTGAGTTCATCATATTACATGTTATTCGCTTTTTATGCAATGGTCATAATGTGTAAAAGTGTTTTAGCGGAAGGGAAGCAATTTAAGAGCCAAATTGGTGAATTGTCGTTGTGGAAGGTTACCAAGAGAGAATTATTCTCTCTTAAAGGTTACCAATTGTACGCAGACGACACAGCGATATTCTTTGTTGCAGGAACCAAACACACTAATGAGTTTCCTAGCGAAGTGAAATTGTACAACAGGAATCTACTAGTACCACACACAGAATAGTGCAAGGCAATGATCACAAAGCGCAAACTATTTTACAGGTCCCAACCAAGATCTTCGTTTTGGAAACATCATCATAAAATGGACAACCTCAGAATGGTCAGCTTATAAAAGCTCAGCACATCCAAGGTTTTCCTTTAATACATCTTTTGTCAGTTTACAGGCTTGTTTACGATAGCACGTGATATTAAAGAAGCTTTTAAAACGTTCTTCTTTGAGCTGGTACTGGAATGTTTTCAAGCACAAGTCGAGGCGCCTCCCCTTAATAACAGCTTTCAAAGCGCTGAATAACTCACACGAAATTCATATAAGATGTTTCGTTCAAATGCTAAACGAAAATTTAGCAAAACATTTTTTTTGTTAGGAGTGAAAGATAAGCTCTAATATAGCTTGTCACTCAAGAAAAATGACCACTCGTAAGGCATATGCCAGGCGTACGCTGTGCAGAAATTTGGAGTTTTAAAGCATCGGTTGGAAGAATTGCTGAGTGTGCGTGATTGTGTAATTTTCCGCACGCTTAGTCCTTTGGTGACTTTTTAGTTCTTCCTTTATTTCGATCATGAGCACGGGAAAGGAACAAACAATTATAGTCAGCGTATATTTATTTATTTATTTTCAGTAGTTCTGAAAATCTCTAATGTTTGTTACTGAAAACAATAATACGTCTGTGTTAGGAGTAAATTTTCCGCAAAATTCTTGTTGATACCGCGCCACACTTGAAAACATAAGATTCTCAAGTTCTTTAGCTAACGGAAAAACAAAATTCACTGTTCATCTACGCAACCAAACCGTTTGAACTAAGCTGAGCTCTCAGGAAACAGGCCTCAAATCCATCAAAGTTCTTGATCCGCTTGCCTAAAAACTTGAAAATCTTTTGTTTTCAAATTGGACAATCTTCTTCCAAGTGCCCAGGTTCGAGTAGCCGCCCTTTTGTAGATCTACTTATAGTTAATTAGTATTTTAATAGTAGCAATGTATAGGTTACTATTGTACTTTTACATTTTTTTAAAAAAATTTGCACACACGTACACGTTTTAACGAGAACTTTGGTGCACCTAGGTTTTACGTGTCTAAATAAAGGATTTGATTTGATTTGATTTGATTTGATTTAGCCGATGGATGAACTTGCGCTTTTGAGTTCCTCAATTCGCTGGTGTAAGTGGCAAGATGTGTAAAACATAACCTGCATCGCACAGGTCACGTTCAAATTTGTAAACGAAACAATGCTGGTTGACAAAAGGTGGATTAGCTTCTCGAATTTTAAGATCGCACTCAATGTTTTGGCTGACAAATACTGGAGACACGGTCGTGTGAGTTTTTCGACTCAAATCCTGAAGTTGACGAACAGAGTCAGATGAATCAGAAACAGCCGCGGGCGATGAAACAGGTTGCTCAGAAACTTTTGTGACAATATAGCGTGAGATAGTAAAGTTAATTAGTTTGTCAGGGTAATTTAGCCGCGAAAAAAGTAATTTAAGACGATCGCATTTTTCGCAGAAATACGACCAGTCGAACGAAAGTCGGAAAGCACGATCAAGCATAGGTCTTAGCAACGCTCGTTTATATCGAACGTCTACGTGACTCTTGTAATGCAACAAGAGCCCAGTGTTGGTGAGCTTGACATAGACTTTGGTCTCCTCATGTGAAGATCTGTTGAAGAGCTGGGTGCCCGGGAAGGGAACCATACCATTGATTTCAATCTCCATGGTGAACATAACGGAGGAGTGTCTCTAGCTGAGAGTTTCAAGAAGATTCTCCGCATATTTTTTGTTTCGCATAACGGTTTGTGTGTCATCAACAAATTGCCCGTAGTATGTGGGCATCTTGCCTTCCTGTTCCAGTCTTTCTTCAATGCTACACATAGACGCATTCGCGAGTAAAGGACTAAGTGAGGGTCCCATAGCGACACCGTGTTTCTTCATACAGCTGACCATTGAAAATGAAAAGTTGATCTTTAGTTGCTGCTCAGAGAAAGTCGACAAGGTCCTGTCCACTGAGATGAAGATGGTACGTTTCATTGAACATATTGTTCGTGAAGGCCTTATCAGTGAGTAGCTGTATGGTTTCCTCCAAAGGCATATTGGTAAAGAGGGAAGAAAAATCGTAGGAAACTAGGATATCACCGTTGTTGATTGACAGCTGCTAGTTTTCATTCACAGAAAAGTAGAAAGTGTCAGTTATAGTGTACTGATTAGTGGAAAGTAATTGCGTTTTACATCAAGCCATTTTGCCAAGGCGTAGTTGTAAGTCTGTGTAGCTGATAATATAGTTCCTAGAGCCATGGCTCTTGATAGGTGGCGTGGCTAACACTGTCTTATGGGTCTTGGGTAGACCATAGAAAAGAGATAGTCTAGAGCCTGATGGACGGACAAAATCTGCAACTGAAGTGGAAAGAATTCGGCGAACGGTTGACTCTAACTCTTCTTCTTTCCGGAGAGGAGCATAATAGTGCTTGGGTGGTCTTCCCCTACTTGTTAGTCTTTTAGGGTCAACCAATCGAAATTCAGTGGCATCATTTATGGAGGCTTCAGCTACTAGACGAAGGTATTCTTCCTTATCCATAACGACGACACCGGATCCTTTACCGGGGTTTGTTATAACTATGCCATCATCTTTCTTTAACTGATGAATAGCTTTGATGAGTGTCCGAGGTGGCTTAGGACCTTTTCGGTAACAAAACCGAGGGTAGACGTTGCTAGGTCACGGAGACCTTCTGGTAAATGTGGGTCGAGTTTCCAGTAGACTTTCTCGAAGCTGGCTTTTATTTAAATCGAAGAAGCATGCTTGGGGATTGAAAAGTTCATACCACGACACAGCACAAGGTTTTGAGAAAAGGAGAGCTTATACCTTGTTTATAGAGCATTGCCAATGTTCAAAAAAATATTCTCGTCAACTCTGCTGACTACCATACACTTACTTAGGTATAAATAACCATTAAGGAAATTGGGGAAAAATAAGTTGCTTACCATTTATACAAACTACCAGGGTAGTTCAAATGTTCTGCATAAACAGTACACTCTAAAGTTTGACGTGGTGGGAGAACGACCCGCTGCAAAATATATCCAAATCAGCTAAGACTGAAAAATGAGGAAGCTTGCATCACCTCAAATCTGAAACTTTCCTACCATGAATGGGCCTGAATCATTTGATTTTCCAACCCAATTTCGGATGTGATCCCATAAAGATGGTGGTTCCTCATCATTTACATGGGCAAACCAGTCGGTTCATGGAATGGACAAATAGCCCGAGGGGTACTCCTGGGAATTCTTAGTGGGGGGTGTGCTGCCAGGCTCTCCAAATTCTGACCCTGTTTCAGACCAAAAACATGTCATTATTCACACCCGTTTTCAGACCTGGCCTCTAAAATCCATACACGTTTTCAGACCAAGCCCCTAAGAAATAGTGTGATAATTACTTAGATTAGAACAGCAACGAAAAATATTTCTCAAAAGTAAAATACATTTCGAATTTGCATATTTTCCTTTCTTTCTTTGTCATTTGGAACTGAAATGATAATGATAACTCCGGGTAGTTCCCTCAAAAACTATACCCGACTCCAGACCAAAATAGGCAAAGTCCGTCTACACCTGTTTTCAGACCAAAACGCCGCAAAAAGGCTACCCTTTAGGGCAGCACATACCTATATGGCTTGTATAAGGGAGTACCCCCCGGGACACATGGTAAGCAAAATTCAGGACTGGTAAATTTTTCCCCAGAATCGTAGTAGACCATTTGCACTGTAAATCAGTTCCATCGAAAAAAATGGTCGTGAAGGCTTGGAATTGGTATCAAAGACAAATTTCACAAAACACAAATTTCTGTTTGGAAAATTCCATCCGGAAAAACAGAACTACCTGTTCATATCTTCTGTTGCATCTAGAAATTTGTTTTTTCATTTGAGCGACCCAATAAGTTTTGTTCCACATTTGCTTTCCAACCAGATTTTCAGGAAACGTTTTGTAATATTATGGTAAAAACCTGGTAAATACATATCTATAGTCTCCCAGAAGTCTCAGATGCATTAAGTCTAGGGATGACCAGACATAGGCTTTTGCATTTAGAGGCCATAACCTTACAGTTAAGGGCTTTTATTTGTTCCTTAGGATTACCCCTGAAGATTTCAATAAACTACATTAATCTTTTTTGTGTAAAAAATGTTTGGCTATCATTTTCAAGAGTGTAGTAAGGATTTTTTAAGGGCGGTGGACAGTGTGTCACACCCAGAGCACTCAGAAGATTGTAATGTCAAAATCCATTAGAAATCCATTAGCTTCAAACACTGACATTGTTAGTGCTTCATCAGATGGCCCCCCCCCCACCCCCCCTTATGTAGGAGGAATGCGTCATAACAAAAAAAAAAAAGGCATGTGTTACTATATATATGGCATTTTATTCAGACGACAGTAAATTCTAGGATTTTAACATTTGAAATTTATCAGTTTTCTACCCATATTACACAAAATACCATTCTGTTATGAGTTACGAAGCATACAGTTCGTGCAATTATCATCCTCTACCATCGCACTTAAATCACAAGTGCAAAGGCTTGGTTGCTAATTTCAAGGCCTTGTTGCGCTGTTGCATCATCATGCCAGGCTGCTTACAAACTAATCAGGAAGTATGCTAAAGATGGATAGCTCCATTGTAAAAAGACATTTTAAGTGCTTTTGAACATTGTTTTTCTTTTATTTGTTGTACATTTGTAAGCTTAATTGATCCAATACAATATCATTGTTTCTGGTTTATGGAGGTACAGTAAACTCTCTCGTAAGCGACTACACTTGGTGCACGACAAAGTGCTCGCTTACGGGAGGTGGTCGTCTATGGGAAAAATCAAAAAAAAAACTCAGACTGAACTGATTAACGTAATTACACAAAGTCATAATCTTACTAGCAAAAATGAGGCTAATAGAGAACAGCTAATAAGGTTTAACTCGAATAGCGCTTGGAACTGACGAAACTTTGTACGTAACATGATAATGCATGAATGTGACAATCCACTTTTTTATCTACAGATCGTATTACAGACATCTCTTTTGTTAGTCAACTGCTATAATCTGCCGGCTAATTTGGTCAGCACTATTCAAAAATGAACTTTTGTGACATTCGAGCAACGGTTTTGTTACAATCATACGTAGCTTTATTTGGTCTTTGAGGGGCTTGGACCGTGTTTTTAATGGCAATTGTTTGATGTTAATGTTGTTCATCAACTACTCAAGAGAACGGTCGTAGTGCTTTATTATTAAAGAAAGTGAGCCAAAATGTCGCTGAACGAATTAAAATCTTAAAAGAAGAACTCGAGAAAATAATTGAATACCGAACCAAAGGTGCCATTCTTCGATCAAAGTCCAGGTGGCACAATGAAGGTGAAAAGAATACTAAATATTTTCTTAATCTTGAAAAACGTCACTTAAAACAAGGTACAATAAGCCAATTGAAACTTAGCGACGGAGTTTTCGTAATATCTTTCTATAAAGATCTCTACGCCTCAAAAATAGACAACTCTGTGAATTTTGATTTCTTTCAGCAAGCAAATGAAACTTTTTTGACTCCTGATGAACAACAGGTTTGCGATGGGCTCTTAACTTAAACGGAATGTGAAGAAGCTTTATAATGTATGAACGCGGATAAAACGCTCTGTACAGACGGCCCTCCAGTCGGATTTTACAAAGCCTTTTGGGATGACATTTCTACTCATTTACTCTTCGCCCTTAATTTTGCTTTCGAATCTGGCTGCTTATCTGTTACCCAAAGAAGGGGTATCATTAAACTTATTCCAAAAAAGAGCATAGAACATTTTACATAAAAATTTGGCGTCCTAGAACTCTCCTTAATACAGATTACAAAATTGCAGCAAACGCTATACAAACCGTATAAAAACCGTCCTCCCAAAACTGATAAGTAATGATCAGACATGCTTTATGGTCCTTGATTGCTGTCACCGCTGTACGACATTTTCATATCGCGATTTTTTAACAACCGCTGCAACTGAACACAGCCACAAATTTTGTTTGCTTTGTTTTCTTTATTTTAGTATGACACTTCAATCTTTTTTGTTAAGTCTGCTATTCCTCAATATGTGCTGGAGATCTGAATCAGCCTGTACAATGGCCAACTGGTGGGGAGCGTTTGACCATAAAGGATGGGCTACCTGTGACTCTTCAACCCAGTATATCAAAGGGCTGTGGAGAAACCATAATGGAGGCCCTAAAGAAAAGATCTGGTTGCTAGAAGAGGCAAAGTGCTGTTTAGCTCCCCCGCCATATGCGAACGTCCCGTCAACTTGTAAAATTGCCAACTGGTGGGGCGTTCTGGATGGGTGAGAAAATATTGGTTTTCACATTACGTTATCAAAATTCAAACTGAAGAATTGTCGATACTCCTGAGCTTTACTTTCATGAAGAATTAGAGCAGCTAAGAACTAATATTTCTACAACTTTTCTCTTGAAAAGGGTTCTTCTTTCTGTCATAGAGTACGATTGAGTTTCTAAGCTTTTGCGTAAAGCGACACTGATTTATACGGGGGCCGAGCCAGCTGTTAAATAGGCTGTAAGAGTGACTCATTTTGGGACATTTTGCTTTCTTAACAGTTATTGTACTGATTATTAGTTCCTCGAGAAATGAATTCATGCTTTCGTAGCAAGATCAGTGACAGATCTTTCTAGTGGTTTTCGGCCGTGATGGTGCGCATTGGATGAGCACCAACACGGCATCTCCATACAAAGCTCTGTAAATTTGAGTAAATCATTTCTCCGTCGCGGCAGATGAAAAATTGCACTGACCTGAATCTTGTTGAGGTTCCATATTTACCTCTTTTCATTTCCCAGATTCTGGACTTGATCTATATTCCTCTGCCCACGAATAAAGAAAACTTTGGATGCGCTTAAGCTGTTATGTTACGGGACCCTACTTTATACTGCTTTCCTCAAAAATCGCGACAAATAAACTGTCAACAAAACAAATAAAGTTTAGATAAACTAGAGATACATCCACATATGGTTATCGGTAGTTTAAGGGACTGTGCAATAATTATCAGGAGGGGGGGTGGGGGGCTGAAAAACTAGAGTTATCTAGCAAAAACTTAGACAGTACCCCCCTCCAAAACAAAAAAAATTAGTTCTAACCCCCCTCTGTTATGTTAAAAATAACGTCGCACCCCCCTCCCACCACCCACCCACACACACACACACACCCATCCCTCACCGCCACCATTACCATAGATGCCTTTAAGTAAATACGTTTTATATTGTCAGGCTACTGTAAGCATACGTTCACTTGTTGGATGTCGTCGTCTGGAACAAATAGTACCTCATATGAATGTTCAACAAAGCCATCCTTTTCGGAGTCATCTGAATCCAAATCAGAGTTGTTTTCGGAAGTACTTATGTGAGAATCAGAGTCGTATTCGGAATCACTGGATAGGAGTTCTGTGTCACTGTCATTGGCACTATTTCTTTCGTTGTTTCGTGTTCCAGTATGCGAGGAATCAAGAGCACGTGCTACTAGCGCAGCTTTACTTCCAGATACATGAAGATTGTTCTGCTTAAGGTAGATCTTAATTTGTCTTGCTGTGAGGGATTTGACTTCATTTTCTTCTTTCCAGTTAATGTCTGGAAGGGTATTGCGTTCAGCTTCTCTTTTTTGAACTTCCAATGCAAGAAACTCACGATGCTGAACAAAACTTTTGAGAGTGATTTCATCAACCGTCAACTTCTCGCACACCTCCTGCATTTCGTTGGCGTTGGAAGAGGTTAACATACCAGAATCGACTAACTTCTTGACTTTCGCACTTGGAAGTTGTCGATCGATATATATGGAATTCAGCAAATCGATTCAGTCGATGAAGAGACATTACTTTTATTCGCATCAAAAACCGACAAAACTTGTCTACGAGATCTGTTTGATTCCTATTGTTTTATGGGGGAAGCTGAAAAACAAGTTCATGATTTTTGCTTTACATAGGATCAGCTCAATTAATTAGAAGACAGGTTGGAATTGATCAGTTGTGAATTTGCTTTTCATTTTGATGGAATATTTTCAATAATCGTTTAACAGCTGTTCGTATTGATATTTGTTACAGTCTATCATGATGCCTGTATTGAGAATCTTTTATTTCGTTTAATTTTATTTACATTTCGAATAAAACCCCCTCTCCGTCAAATGAGTGATTTTACGTTGAGCCCCCCCTATCTTGGCAGCAATTTTATGTAATGCCCCCCCTCTAGTTTTTCAGCCCCCCCTCCTGATAATTATTGCACAGTCCCTAACATCAACCATTGAGTTAGAAATTCTAGTTTTTCGTGTTTGTTTTGGAGACAGAACGCCAAAACCTGCAAAAACCTGCAAAATAGCTTTAGCTAAGTGTTTCTCCCACGTTAAATAAAGATTATGTTATGTTTTTATGTTATAAGAGAATAAGCAGATTAACGTTTCCGACTCTTCCTTCCTCTGCCATTTCAAAATTGTCAAGGGAAGCCAACAAAATGCTATCTGTTCTGTTATAAAGGCTTGCTGTGGTCTGTGCATAAGATTTCGCATAAAATCTTGCTTTTGCCTTTGTCTTTGCAATGAAGGTTTAACGTCTGGGCCGTTTGTCCAACTGGTTACTTTCTACAAGGTCTTTGGCGAAATGATGGGGCTGGCTGGATTTGGCAAATTGAAGAGGCCAAGTGCTGTAAACCGAACATATTGCCTGACCAGTATGAACACTGCTACAACGAGAATATCTGGGGGTCATTTGATCACTATGGACTTAGTGAGTGTAAGAAAGACGGCTACTATGCGGCTGGATTTTACAAGTCAAACTGCAACACACTGGGTTGTATTGAGGAGCTCAAGTGCTGCAGGATGGTCGTTGGTGAGTCATACTGATAATCCGAAAAACATTTTATCATAAGTATTGATTAAATCTGATGGAATACTTTAAAACTGAGTGTGCTGACATTCACTCAAATCACTCGGTGACCAACAAAATTACAGCAATAATTATTTTAATAACAATAATAATAATAATAATAATAATAATAATAAGTAATGGAAATCAGGGCAGTTGATAGCCAATCAGATTTGACAATTTTGTTATATTTATGATTATAATAATAATAATAACTACAATAAGTAATGGTAATAGGACTGAGTGGAGTCCAATTCGGTCTGTGATCATACGAGTGATTAACAAAATCGGACGACCGCGTAGCGGGAGTCCGATTTGTTTAATCACAAGTATGATTACAGACCGAATTGGACGACACAAAGTTCTGTTACCAATTAATCGTAACTTTAACAAAATTTGTGATATAATAGCGTACTGTCCTATTAACTGTCCAATTAAGGCTGAAATCAGGGTAGTTGATAGCCAATCAGATTTGACAATTTTGTTATAGTTATGATTATAATAATAATAATCCCAACTCTTTATTGATATCAAAACTAACTATTAAAACCTATTTACAATTAGTTTCGCTGAAGAAAAAAAAATATTCAGTCAAAGCACTATTTACAATCATTTCATTTCATAAGCTCCTGTTCATTTCGATTAAAGAAAAATTCAATTCAATTTTTAAAAAAACTCATTTCAATTAAAACCAATTCATTTCGATTAAAAATGAAATAAAAATATTATTAAGATCCTATAATACTATTAGCGTTTAAGCGGCAGTCATCAATGAAATCCCCTTGTGGAATTTTGTGGAAGGTGTTTGGAACCTCTTACACATGTGTGTACGGACCTTAAAATCTCAAAAGAAAGCAATGTTCTAATCCAAGTGATGGTAATGTGATAAGGTTCCTCATTCTTTTCTGAGAAATTCTCGGCTAGGCCTTTGAGAAAGCATTTGCAGTCGGTTCCCATCCCACCGCTGGTTCCAAAAACTAGGGGAGTGAAAGATCCCATTTCAACGTCCAGTCCTCCTGCTCCTTAATAAAGAGTGCGGATGTTGTTTTTCCCTTGTTACACTTGGAGTTAACATGCGTTACTCTGACATCAAAAAATGCTGTAACTCCGCGAGACCAAAAGCCCTCTGCCTTGAAGTCCAGTCTTGCCTCCGGGCTTGTTACCGCGCTTCTGAGGTTGAATCGCGCATTATCGAGAGGTTGTAGCTGTGGTTCGACTTCAACGTTAGTGCAAACCTTACTAATAAGTGAGGTAAGTAGGTTGCAAACACCATCGTGTCTCTGCGCCACAAACCCTCCCTTTTCGCATGACAGAGCATGGCAGACGGTATACTTCTCACCACAAACACACTTGCTTGGTAAGTCGGACAGGGGCATATTATACCTTAAACGCAGAGAGTCTCTGAATTCTTGTTTATTCAGCACCAAGCCTTGATCGACAAGAGGCACTGCAGTAAGCCCTGAGCTCGAACCCTTGTCTATCGATTAATAATAATCATCATCATCATCATCATCATCATGATCATCATCATCATCAAAGACCATGACGACAGGAAATCCTTGTACTCTATCAGCAGACAGTCAATAAAGTTCAGTCGGGAACTAAGAGTGCCTGCAATACCACCGGCAGAGGACGAGGCGAACACCAGCTATGCCCGCAGAACAAAGGCCAAGGCCAAACACCAGGGTCGCCAACAGCTCAGGTCCAAGTGGGAATCAAAAGCTGCAAGGTAAATACCGACAACGGATGAAACAGGCTGACGTGGACCAAGACAGGACCCACAGATGGCTAAAATCAGCTGGCCTCAAGGTAGAAACCGAGGGCTTTATCATCGCGGCTCAAGATCAAAGCCTCCCAACACGCTGGTACCAACGCAACATCCTCAAGAAGCCTGACGTGGACCCAAAACGTAGACTGTGTGGCCGTTTCGACGAGACCATTGGCCACCTGGTCTCTGGGTGCCCTGAACTGGCTAAAACTGAATACATCCACTGCAATAACAAGGCAGCTGCACACATGCACTGGAAGATCTGCAAAGAGTTTGGTATTGAGGGGAAGGAACGATGGTATGAGCATGAACCCAAGACTGTCACCGAGAGTGACAGCGTCACTATTCTGTGGGACATGCCCATCCACACTGAGAGGACCATAGCAGCTAAAAGGCCGGACATTGTGTTAAAGAACAAGAAGGATAAAACCTGCCTTCTCATTGACATGACTACACCCCTCGACACCAACACCTTATTCAAAACCACGGAAAAGCTTACCAAATACAAAGACTTGGAAATCGAGGTTGAACGAATGTGGGGGCTCAAAATAACAACAGTCCCGGTTGTTATGGGAGCTCTTGGCACCATCAAGAAGGACATGGAAAGCTACTCCAACAAAATCCCTGGCAACATCAACATACATGAACTCCAGAAAATAACTCTCCTTTCTACAACCCACCTTCTCAGGCGAGTCCTTTCCATCAAGTAGAAACCCTCTTTGCCTCCCAAAGTCCATGGTTTGGACTCGGATGTTGAGAGAGAAAGTCAATCGCAATTACACTAGTATATCTTATATAATAATAATTACAATAATATGCACCTGAATACGTCGTTTAATTTTTATGTGCAAGTTCATGCGTCAGATATGATCAAAGTAGTCTCTAGCAGCTGATCGAGTTCATCTTTAGCTTAAATCAATTTTGTTTTTAATTAATAATTCTCTACAGATATTTGCCACACCACCCCCTGCAAAAACGGTGGCACTTGTACCGCTGTCCCGATTGAAGTGGGCTACGTCTGTGAATGCAGATCTGGATACAAGGGGACCAACTGTGAACTTGGTAATGTCCCATTTAACATTCTTTCACTTGTACATTACCTTTCACGATCGTTATGGCTGCACGCATGGTTGTTTGTTTGTACGCACATAAAGCCGTAATATCCGGTTTCCGTTATAATAGATGGGTGGGTTATGAGGCTTCAACTTACTCCCAGACCTGTATGACCAGTATCTGTTTCGTTCTTCCCTGCAGCTTTTTTTTTGTTTTCAGTACTAGCGAGTGCTTATCTACTCGGGTTTAGAATTGAAGTTTTCTTTCTCATTGAAAGGCTTCCTTGAAAGGCTACGGGCCTCAACTATCCAAAGCAAGCTAGTTAAAATGCGCCAGTCACTCGCCCTGCATTCCCCCTTTTTTTCAGTTCCTCGACGAGCATGCATCTTAATTGTTGAAACTTGGCCAGACAATGTTTATATATTCAGAGTTCCTTGAGGTATCCCGGGTTACTCAGAACATATATGTACACTAACAGGAGTAGTCCCCGTTGCTAAGAAGGCTAGGTATGGCCACGAAGTGGGGTTAGAGATGAGACGAACGCCTAGCCTCTAAAAAATACTTGTGCGTGGCTAGTACTTGAGCAGCATCAAAAGTCAGTAGGAGGCATGGGGGCTTCGAAACTCCACGGTATGGCCAGTCTCTTACGAAGCAAGCAGCCCTATCACCCCGGCAGTGGCAGCCGTGGCTATCTGTTTCACTCTCATGATGAGTCCTAAGCGAAACAGGCGTCCATGTCTGCTACTTCCTGGGTGATATAGTTGTGCGCATGTTTGAGGTACTTACCATACCACTGAGCTTCCTACTGAACACTGATATCGATAAACAACAAACGTAGCGATTTTGTGAAGCTCGGAGCCTCCTTTCTGAATATTTGAGTCGGTTAGCATTAGGGCCTAAACCCCGTTGGACACCTTACGAAGTTTACACACCGTAGGATTTCCTTATTGGTTTTGAACACTGAATATAGTGATTAGAGATAAGCAACGATATTGATTAGGGTTAAGCACTGACCACGGTGATTGGGGTTAAGCCTGAAAATAGTGATTGGGGTTAAGCCTGAAAATAGTGATTAGGGTTAAGCACTGACTCCAAACGGTTAGCTTCCTGGGTTGTTGCTATATAGCTTCAAATCAGACCAATGCTCGCCAGCAAATTCTCAGTGGCGCGTAGTGGTATAGGTAATGGACTGCACTCACTACACTTACTTTCCCTCTTCTGATTTTAAAATTGAAGAGACTAGCACTTTCATGAATATTTCCTGAGCAGAAATTTCATCCAAGTGTAGTGTAGAAGCAATTAAGAACACTACGTTGTGTAAACTTCATAAGGTGTCCAAGGGGTTTAGGCCGAAGGGATCTAATGCCGATGAGTCTTACTGAATTATCCCATAATACACGGACTCGTACCCAGTTCCCCTCGTATAAAATCCAGCGAAATGATAAGATCCGCTTTTCGTACAAATCGCCTAAAAATACACAGCTGAATACAAAAATGCTTTTAAGTAAGAAAAGGGTCCTTCTTAAAATAAATAGTACACTTGAATTAACGTTGTTTCTATTTTTTTAGCATCAGGAAGATAAGCCATTTGCATTTCAATAGCAAGTAATAAAGGTAAGGATCTCAATTCCTTCTGATTTTCTACTGATACTTGTGTCGTAGTCGTTAACTTAGAGTCAACTCGACTGTTTTCAAGGCTTTCAACGACCTTAAACTGTTCGTAATATCAGCACAAAAAATTAAATAATTTGATGCCAGTTTCATGTTATTTTGGACCGTTGTTGTCTTCTAGTCCATTAACATCGTAATATCAAAAATTGTTAACTAAAAACTGACGTTTAATTTTCTTAAACGTGATTCGTCGTCTCTCAGACAGGATACAGCCTAAATACCTAACTACATATCTATATTTTTTCTATAAAGTTTCTTATATCGTTAAAATACACGTCTTATTTTTCTTTTATTTTTAAATGCCGCCTAGTATTCAAATAGCCCACGTTCAATATATCAAAATTCCAACATGACCCCTAGGCTTTCTGGTCATTTTTCTATATTTGGTTTGGTTTTCTTTGTGCTCAAGTCTCTTTTGAGAATCGCGAGACAATGGAGTCGTGAAAAATTTGCATTTTTTTACCCTAAAGCCTCGGAGTCATGTTAGAATTCAGTTAATATATCGAACATCGGCTATCGCCGGTGGGGAAAATCCCTACTCCTCATAAGTTTGTTGGCTTCTCGGAGATTTCCCCACCACAGTAACTCCATCCCCGCTGTATACAAATTTTAATTTAATGTTATTTACCTATTTATTGTGTTTTTTATTCTTCTTGTTGTAATTTATTTTGTTTGGCAAAAATGAAATAATAATAAATAAATAATAATGATACTAAATTTTGTCATTTAGGCTGTTGATCTCCCGAACCTTTTAAGAAGTTCCCTTTTCAACAGGATATAGGATGCTTTTTAGCTAGACAAAAATGCACATAAAAGAAGGTTACAATAAAAAGTAGTCTGTGGTGAGACAGGAACTGTACTCATTATCAAAAATAAAATAAAGGTCAGGAACGAAAACACGTTTTGCTTGGAATGTTTATTTATTTATTTACTTATTTAGCTATACGCGATCATGCCGGGTGGTCGCTTACCGGAAACAGAAAACAAAAGAATATGTCAAATTTCTGCCCCAAAAAGTGGTCGCGGTCGTTTAAGAAATTTACGTAGTGGTCGCTTACAAGAGAGTTTTTGAAACACTGTTTGCCTGAGAAACAAAACGGTTATTTGTAAAGTGGTCTCTTACGGGAGGTGGTCGCTTACGAAAAGTGGTCGCTATGAGAGAGTTGACCGTATTTTTTTTCTCTGCAGGCATGGAAAAGGTCATCAAATATAGCCAAGATCAGTCGAGCATGATGCCAAAAACGCCAAAACGCGCCAATTTCCTATCCTGGGGGGGAGGGGGGGGGGTACAGATTTTCCATCTATTTTGTCCAAACCGTTGTAGTAAGCTAAAGGCGCGGGGGAGGATCTGGAGGATAGGGATCTCCTTTAAAATTGTCCTATTATTTAAGCCCCATGCTGACGGGTTTTTTGAATGAATCGGCTAGCCCAACTGTTAAAGCTTTCCGAAGGAAAAATGAGAAATGCCTAACTCCGATGGGATCAGACAAAACCACCAGCTCAAGTACGAGGCTCCTCTGCCCTCTCCTCACTAGCCTGTTCCAGGCGTTCAGATAGTAGAGCGCAGGAAAAATTCACGAAGAAAAAAAAAAACGCTAAGAAAAAAAATTCATGATCACGCGAAAGATTGATTCAAAAATCTCCCTTACCTTTAGTTCATAGCCACTCTGTGTCCTACGGCCGGTTTAAATTCTGTTTAGTCGACTTCTTTCCATCGATCGAGTACTGAACACCATAAACGAAGAGTTTAGTACTCGATGGAAAGAGAGTCGACTAAACGGCGTTTAACCTGCCGTAGGACACAGAGTGGCTATGAACTAAATGTAAGGGAGATTTTTAAATCAATATTTCGCGTGATCATGATTTTTTTTTTTTAGCGTTGTAGATTCGAATACATGTCTGACATGTGATAAAATTCGAACAATAAGGGCCCGAATCACATGTAGTAATGCAAGAAATCTCGACCTTCGTTATCTTAATGGCTACTCAGTACAGATAGACAAACAAGAAGAATTCGTATCTTTAAGATTTTTGCATTTATTTGGCATCAGATAATACACTAATAATTCCGATCAGTATAAAACATGGACTGCGGACTGCGGACTGCGGACCACGGACTGCGGACTGGGTATAAAATACGGACTAGGTATAAAATGCGGACTCCGGACTGAGTATAAAACACGGACTAGGTATAAAATGCGGACTCCGGACTGAGTATAAAACACGGACTAGGTATAAAACGCGGACTACGGACTATGTATATAAAAACAGCTTTAGAAGGTAAAACTGAGAGAAACAGAAAGCGGACTAGCAAAAACAGTAGTCCCAGCTTTAACATTCCCTTGGCTGTTCACGTAGTCTGTTCTTCCCACGGAGAAGGAAGGTTATGCCGGTACTCAAGGCGACTGAAATTAAACTCTGAATTTTATAAAAAGAAGGAGTTTGAAGAGATTTCAATTTGCAGTTTTACACCAATAAGAAGCACCGAATTAAAAAAAAATAGTATTGGTGTTAGTCAGATCAGTAAAATTCTTATCGGATGCCACAATTCCGTTTCAAATAAAGCCTTGGGAATATGAGGGACTGAATGAAGAACTCAGACGAGAAGGTCAATGCGATGCACAAAAGCAGTATTTAGGTGCGAGGGATTACTCACATACGTGAATAATAACCGAAATGAGTCATCCAACGTTATATTCTAAGCGATGATTATGATGACATGATTTACACCCTGCTCCTGATCCCCGGAAGGGGGTACTACTGGGAATTCTTGGTGGGGGTGTATTGCCCGGTTCTCCGAATCCTGACCTTATTGCAGACCAAAAAATTGTCATTTTCCACACCCGTTTTCAGACTAGATCTCTAAAATCCATACCCATTTTCGGACCTGGCCTAATTTAGCCTGTTCCAGGTTCTCAGATAGTTGGGGAGACTCCCCAGTTTTCTCCCGTTTCATTTTCGTGTTTTCGCTTTCTCGATTCAGCGGACCCAACTATCTCAGAGCCTTGAGCAGGTTAGGTCTAATTAGGCAGAAATTTTGTCCTCATTACCAAGTTAGAGCGGAAACAAAAAAATTCTCCAAATGCATTTGGAATTCGCACATTTCTATTTCGTTCTTATTCATTTGGAATTGAAAAGATAAATACGTCCATTCATGTACGCTCCCGTAGTTCCCTCGAAAACCATACCCGATTCCACACCAAAATTGGGCAAAGTGTTTTCAGACCAAAGAGGCCTAAACCTCCTATCCTTCCATTATAGAAGGGAGTACCACCCCTGATCCTGACGCCTTTCATGATTGTTAGAGACCAAGACAAGGTCTAAAAATGGGTGAAGAAAATAGCATTTTGATCCGGCTCATGATTCAGAGAACCGGGCGGGACACCTCCACCAAGAATTTATAGGAGTATTTACAACTTTAACTCACGTGTCTTGCTATTTAGCGATCTTTTGATCTTATTTTTCCTTACCTAGAATCAATTTGCACGGTTTTTTACCAAAGTAGTCAGTAGTCCGTATTTTATACCCAGTCCGCAGTCCGCAGTCCGCAGTCCGCGTTTTATACTTTGTCCGTGTTTTATACCCAGTCCGTATTTTCTAGTCCGCGTTTTATACCTAGTCCGTATTTTATACCCAGTCCGCAGTCCGTAGTCCGCAGTCCGCAGTCCGCAGTCCATGTTTTATACTGACCGCTAATAATTCCGTAGTACTCTGACCAAAGACCTCTGAAGTCCGAACCCTTGGGCTACCTGTGGTATTTCCGGTCGTCGCTTCTCTCCCTCCGAGGGAGCGCAGCGATGACCGGAAATACGTCTGCTGTTTCGTCGCTTTTTTAAAAAAACAAACGTAAAGGTTACCCCAAAACTTGTGTTCGCAAAAAGAACTTAGCGGAGATGGAATCGAGCAAAAACGTTTTTATATCAAAGGAAAAGCGTACAGTGTATTTTTTAGGCCAACACATGACGAAACATTCCACGTGAGACAAATAAGGGCAGAAGGGCCAAAGTCCTACAGCCGCATCCTGTCTTTTTAAATGTCACATAACATTCACAGACGTAATGAGTTGTAATGGAGTGGAAGGAAGTCACTTCGTTCTTCGTCGTCCTTCTGTGCCGTTTTATACTCTTTCTCTTCATAATAGTCCTATCCTTGCTCATTCTTGGTATTCCAAACGTTAACACATGCTTTTTAACGGTGAGTATGTTAAAATCATTTCTTCTTCAAAGAGCTGAATGTAGCGGGTTCATTGTATGAAAGTGGTTATAATTCAAATACCCAAGCCCGCGATTAGTCAGTAATCATTTGAGATTTCGCTCAACTACGAGACCATCGAAAACCAAACATTCACGGCATGATAAAGCAGTCTGTTATTTGTAACTTTTGAATAATCCATGGATCCAAGTTTTATTAAGAGCCATTTTTCGTGTCGTCACGCAACGTTCTTGAGTACGCGTGACGACGCAAAGAACTGCCAGAAGGCAAAAGAGTAGAGATAACCTGAGTTCAGCTGCCCCCTCCCCTCAGCAAAAAACGAGCATCTGAGCATCCGGAACCCATAACCCGCGAGAACTAATGACGAAAGGTCACGTTATGTGTACAATCATTTATTTATTTATTTATTTATTTATTTATTTATTTATTTATTTATTTATTTATTTATTTATTTATTTATTTATTTATTTATTTACTGTATTTATTTATTTTAGAGTCAAACTCTACTAACATATCCTTTCTACCACGACCACCTCTCCACGTCGGCCTTTTGATTTAATCCCAGGAGATAGTTCCTACCAGCGGGGGAAGAGGTACCCCAGTGGTTCTTACGTTTATTGTCGTTGCAACCTCTCTAAAACGTATCGGCCATCCCTCCACTACAAAGACGAACAGTACTAAAGAAAAAAACCGTACTCCCAGCAGCGGAAGATAGAACGGCCATTTACTGAATAAGAAGTGCTCACTATGTTTTGTAAACATTTTTAGTTATTCTTGTTTCATTGATTTGATATACAGTAAAAATCAGCGTATAAGAACGTAAGTTTTTTCAAGCAAGGCTAAGAGGGTCTTATAAAAATGGTGCAAACTGGAAAATTAGGATACTCAGGTTCTTAAAGAGGTTCTGATATTAAAAATAAATAAGGTGTTTGTCATTGGTGGATGTGGCCCATTTTGGGACTATTTTTTGTATTGCATGCATAATATGTTATAAAAGTTCCTTTAATCCAAGCATGTTAAAGCCATTAATGAAGTTTATATAAAGCTATGTAAGTCAAATAGCACTTTGTCGCTGCGTGGCCAAACATGTTACTTCTCAAAACAACAACCTGTTTAAAAATTGTAGTCCAAAAGAGGTTCTTATGTAAACGGGGGTCTAAATGGACAATCTTAGCCTAACAGGTTCTTAAAATCTAGGTTCCTTTAGGCAGATTTTTACTGTATTTTTTCGTGCTACCATGAGCATTTTTGTGATGAAACATATTCGTCATACTGCACCTTCTCATACTGACCACTTCTGTCCCCAAGGAGGCCGTTGTAGAGTGGTTATGTATCGGTCAAATCGAAGCTTCAACATGCCCCCCCCCCCCCCGGGCATACCCCGGGCATTTGACACCTTTGCCGTCCCGGGGAGGAGGGAATTTGATTATCAGAGTCTTCCAGGGGGTGGGGAATTTGATCTCCATGCTTTAGGGGTGGGGAATTTGAACTGCACCTTCGATTTCATGTAAAATCTTTGGCGTGGCGAGCTTTCATGGGGGACGCGGTGTTAGGGGATTTTCGTGGAAAAGATTGTGCCTTTGTGGCCAATTTGTTGCGAGGAAAGGGCTTAAACAAGCTTTGTGCCGTATTTGAAGTATTAAAATTTTAAAATTTTTAATATTGGATTCAGGCTTTGAATGTATGAATGTATTTTATTGTTGTGTTTACAATGAAAGACAATACCTATATCGGCGATTCAATACAACAACATAAAATAAAATAAGATAAAAAGCTCAGGTCAACTACTTTGACCTACTGCAAGTATGTTAATAAGGTGAACGATGATGCATGTCAGTGAAATGGTCATGATGTAGTTATCTCAATAGGTGGGATCTTTTTTATAGGACACTTTGTATGTTGTATGACGAAGAAAAGCTGAGCATTCAGTGACCTTGTAGCAGCGATTTCCGCCGCTTTGCACGAGACTTTTGTTCGTAGTAAATACGCTAACAGTGTTTCTCAGTTTTTGTTATATTTATAAATATTTTGTTCGACAACTGAAGGTGTTTCCGCCTTCCTTCTGTCATTTTTTGCCTGTGAAATGTCCCCGGGGTGGGGGCATTTGATCACCTGAATGGACCCTAGTGTGGGGCATTGGAACGGCATTTTGGCCCGGCTAGGGGGGAATTTGAACAATAATTTTCAGAAAAGTCAAATGCCCGGGGGGTTGCCCGGGGGGGGGGGGCATGTTGAAGCTTCGATTTGACCGATACATTATGGTGTTTATGAACATGCTTGTGTCTGTGTCTTGCCTTGGATTTCAGGTGTTCATGGCTTTCATCATTCCTTTACCGCCAAACTCAATTTTAGTTGATCCAATTCATTGCATGTTGTCGAAATTCAGCCAGGCTTTGAGGTTAGTAAAGTTAACTTCGATTCACGAATATTATCCTCAACGCTAGCCAATTGTTTTAATATAGACATGGTTTGACAGAATGATGAAATAAGGCTTATTCTATTTTGCGAAACGAAACGAAACGAAACGAAACAAAATATATAGGAATTAGGAGAGGGAGAAAAAAATGCTTATTAACCTAAACACAGCTTAAGACAACATTGACAATGTGTTTGGAAGTAATAGTTAACGAAAAATGACGGAATTTTACCTTTTTCGCAAAGTAGAAATTTCAATACAATTACTATTTTGCGAAATGGCGTTTTTCAGCTTTATTTAGCAAATATGTCCTTTTCGTCTGAAACAAATTGTGTCCGCCGATAAAATGATTAATATTTCGAAGAGTCTGGGGACTTCTCATGTTATTGACCGTGCTAGAACTCATTTCGCAAAGTAGTAATTTTTCCAGAATTACTATTTTGCGAAATGGCGTTTTTTACCTATTTTCCCCCGATATTTAGCAAATAGGTCGTTCTCGTCCGAAAAAAAATTGTATCCACCAATAAATTGATTAATATTTTAGAGAGTCTGGGCACCTCTCATTTTATTGCCGTACTAGAACTTCTTTCGCAAAGTAGTAATTTTGCCACAAGTACTATTTTGCGAAATGGCATTTTTTCACCTATATTTAGCAAATATGTCCTTCTCGACCGTAACAAATTATATCCACAAATAAAATGATTAATATTTCAAAGAGTGTGGGCACCTCTCATTTTACTGGCCGTACTAGAGCTCATTTCGCGAAGTGGTAATTTTGCCAGAATTTAATATTTTGCGAAATGAGCTGTTTGTCGTCCTTTAAATTTGTTTTCTTACCATAGAAATAAGTGTAAACATAAAACTACTGATCAATTCCTAAAGACTCTGGAGACTTCTCATTTTATTTTTAGAACTCATTATTAAGTGCACTCAGCAAAATCCACCAATCACAGAAGTTATCCCAATAACCATAGCAACAACCACATACCCTAGTAAACTGGGAATTCTCCAAAATGGACGAATTTGTGACATTAGACTGTGTCTCTCAGAGACAAATTGGGGAAAGTTTCCCTAATTTTGGATAATTGGTGTTAAAAGCTCTTTTTTTCACCAAAAAACTGGATGCATTTATTTTCTGGGAAATTGCAATGGTTACGATTAATTGGTACCAGGTCTTTATGTCGTCCATTTCGGTAATCACTCGTATGATTACAGACCGAGTTGGACTCTACTCAGTCCTATTACCGTTATTAAAAAGTCGTATTTAAAAGTCATTTCAAAATGTTGTAATTTTGCAAGAAATTATTACTATTCTGCGAAGCTAGCAATTTTCACCTTTGCCGAAACAGGGCATTCGTTTTCGTATGATCATAAATTGATCAAAAATAAAACAATGTACATTTGTACATCTATGCTATAACCCCAAACCAAATTAATGCTAACGACTTACTGAAATTTAAAAAGTTTATATTATTTAAGTCGTTCCATTAAAAAACTAATATATCACATTATCAAAAAGTATAATCAAAAGAAATTTCTGATTTCAGTTAAAGATTAAAATAAGGGTTCTCAGTTCCCCGTTCTTAGTAATTTGATTAAAGTATTCCAAAAAGTTAACCAGACTCAAATAACTAATTTTGGATGTATTATGTGATACGTATAGTAGGATGTTATTTTTATCAAACCAGTTACTTTTTTGGGATAAATTATTCCCTTGATCCTATCAGCAGCATTTACTATTACGATAATCATCTTATTATGTGCGCCATTTTCGTTTATGGCACGGTACTGAAATAAATCATGAGAAAGAAAATAAATAACCTGGGAAATACAAATATGCGTGCCTCACCTCACCACCAAATATCACCAGCTAATATAAAACTCATTTTTGTTGCTGTTGTTGTTGTGAAAATGTACTGGGAATAAGGAACAGGGCCTAACGAGGAGCCTTTGAAGCTATAGAGCGTCCATCTCGTAATCGGTAATAGGCCCAATGTCATTGCAAGTTAATTTTTAGACCATCTATAATCCGCGCGCAAAAAAAAAAAAAGTAAATATTGGGGGGAAAAGGTTAAAAAACGCCATTCGCAAAATAGTAATTCTGGAAAAATTACTACTTTGCGAAATGAGTTCTAGTACGGCTAATAAAATGAGAAGTCACCAGACTCTTCGAAATATTAATAATTTTATTGGTGGACACAATTTGTTTCAGACGAAAAGGACATAATTGCTAAATATAGGTGAAAAAACGCCATTTCGCAAAATAGTAATTCTGGAAAAATTACTACTTTGCGAAATGAGTTCTAGCACGGTCAATAACATGAGAAGTCCCCAGACTCTTCGAAATATTAATCATTTTATTGGTGGACACAATTTGTCTCAGACGAAAAGGACATATTTGCTAAATAAAGCTGAAAAACGCCATTTCGCAAAATAGTAATTGTATTGAAATTACTACTTTGCGAAAAAGGTAAGAATCCGTCATTTTTCGTTAACTATTACTTCCAAACACATTGTCAATGTTGTCTTAAACTGTGTTTAGGTTAATAAGCATTTTTTCTCCCTCTCCCATATATTTCGTTTCATTTCGTTTCGTTTCGCAAAATAGAATAAGCCATGAAATAATGCTGAATTTTGTGGTAAAAGCAGCAAACTTTGCACAGTTTATGGCATAGGGAAAAATAGAGCTCAATGGGAGTAGGTTCATCTTCAACCATCATGATATTCCTGCGTGGAAACGAAGCCGACGCAAAATATTCGTAATAACACCAATCTATATCGTCTTTTCAATATCGTAAACGTACTCATCTTCGCGCTGACTTAGCAGTGATAAACAAAAAGCATAAAAAACAGTGCAAGCAAACACTGTCACGTAGTCATGCAGTAATCGTGATGCTTTTTAAGACCTTAAGTTTATACACTTGAGGGTTTTCTAATTCTCTACTGTAGATTCAAGAATCCACGCTCTGCTCCTATGACAACTGTGACTTTCAGTTTGTTCAATCAACAGAGCTTACACAGCGTATGCAGTAGTGCTCACCGAAGTACAAAGGGTAACTTTCATCACCATACCCCATTATTTATTGAGTGTAGTTTCGCATGGCCGGCTGGAATGTATTCTACGTTACTTTGTGCATCATATCAGGTAAGTTTTTTAACTCACCTCTTAAAATCCTAGGCGAGCATCTATCAATTATCTCCACCGACAGACTATTTACAGTCCCCTATTTTCCCGGGGAGGCGCTCCAAAACAGAATAAACCGGCCACTAAAAACTGTACAGCTACTGAATTGAAGTGGTTCTAAATGACCGCTTGAGCTTTAAAATGCATGCTATGATTAGCTTTTGGAAATTTCACTCGTTTGACAGCGGTCAAAAGAGGAGAGACCTATTTTGCTGCTCCCCATTCCCCTCACGACCTCGCCTACTGCGATCTTTGCTCTCCCCATATCTCTTAGATCTTATGTATCGGTCAAATCGAAGCTTCAACATGCCCCCCCCCGGGCAACCCCCGGGCATTTGACTTTTCTGAAAATTATTGTTCAAATTCCCCCCTAGCCGGGCCAAAATGCCGTTCCAATGCCCCACACTAGGGTCCATTCAGGTGATCAAATGCCCCCACCCCGGGGACATTTCACAGGCAAAAAATGACAGAAGGAAGGCGGAAACACCTTCAGTTGTCGAACAAAATATTTATAAATATAACAAAAACTGAGAAACACTGTTAGCGTATTTACTACGAACAAAAGTCTCGTGCAAAGCGGCGGAAATCGCTGCTACAAGGTCACTGAATGCTCAGCTTTTCTTCGTCATACAACATACAAAGGGTCCTATAAAAAAGATCCCACCTATTGAGATAACTACATCATGACCATTTCACTGACATGCATCATCGTTCACCTTATTAACATACTTGCAGTAGGTCAAAGTAGTTGACCTGAGCTTTTTATCTTATTTTATTTTATGTTGTTGTATTGAATCGCCGATATAGGTATTGTCTTTCATTATAAACACAACAATAAAATACATTCATACATTCAAAGCCTGAATCCAATATTAAAAATTTTAAAATTTAAATACTTCAAATACGGCACAAAGCTTGTTTAAGCCCTTTCCTCGCAACAAATTGGCCACAAAGGCACAATCTTTTCCACAAAAATCCCCTAACACCGCGTCCCCCATGAAAGCTCGCCACGCCAAAGATTTTACATGCAATCGAAGGTGCAGTTCAAATTCCCCACCCCTAAAGCATGGAGATCAAATTCCCCACCCCCTGGAAGACTCTGATAATCAAATTCCCTCCTCCCCGGGACGGCAAAGGTGTCAAATGCCCGGGGTATGCCCGGGGGGGGGGCATGTTGAAGCTTCGATTTGACCGATACATTAACATGTTCTTAAAAAGTTTTGACACGTAATAGCATGTTCAGGAAAATCTTAACATCCGTTTAATGTGAAGGCCATTAAACACCCTTCTTCTGCATTATTCAGCATCCTCTTTCTGATATAAAACAAAGGTTTGTTCCCTCGTTTATTTTTCTTTTTAAGATTTACAATACCTCAGATGGCTTCCAAAATTACCGCGACTTTGGTTGCTCTGATGTTACCATATCTACGGCTTTTGGGTAAAATTATCAGAATGATCCTTGCAGGATTGTGGTATGTATGCTACATAAAACTTAACTTGCCGCCTAGGCGAGCGCACGCAAGAAAAACTCGGGGCTACGTGAGACCAGACATGACGTAAACTCGTCCACGGTTTTTCTTTCGTGGTGGCGTTCTCAAACTTCCGTGGTTTTTCCTTTACTTACCTGTTTAATTAGAGTCAAAATTAATAAACACAGAGTTTCTTTACACACAACAAGAGAGTGGTAGAGCCTGGTTATACTATTCAATAACGCTGCAAAAACATTGAAGGCCATTTGTAAGGTTTGAGATTATCAATAGTCGTTTTTCCAACGCTAAAAGTGTTATTGTTACCACTATTTCTTTTTAACTCCATGCAGCTTTCTTGCAAATATTATGGTACGAGTTCTGGCACATTTAGCGTGGACGTCATGGTCGCTTTTCAAAATGGTTTCATTTAGGATGATTCTTTTTCTAAGGTAAACGTCATTTTACAGTTGACACTCAAAGTTCATAAATTTAGATTAGATGAAGGATTTATCTTTTGAAACTTCATTCTGATTGCTTTAAGGTAATTGTGAGGAGCGAGACGTTTAACCATCAGGGTATAATCTTCAATGATGATCCCATGAAACCAACAAGCCACTATAGTGTATCAATAAATTATCGATAGCATATCGGATCTTCCAAGGTTTACGGCGCAAAAATCTTTACTTTAGTCTCTGTTCCCTTTATAATGTATATATTTGACTGGTACTGGCTTCCTGTAGTGACCATATGGGCTGGAATCAGGAGCCAGGCAGCCAGTTGATGTTTAGCATTAAATCACTTACAGGTCGGGTAATTGGCCCAAACTCACATAAAAAGTACAGACACACACAAAGGTAGAGAAATGGTAAAATAGGACACAAGAAAATTGAATAACGATCAGCAATTATCACTTGCTGCATTAACTCGAAATTATTTGGCAAACACATTTTTCAGCCCCACCACCCTCTCCCAATTTGAGATCCCTCCAGCGTGATTATCAGCTATATTGATATTATACTCCACTTTAGCTTTATTTCAAGGCTTATGATGCGAGTGTTAGCACATCTTCGAGTATGGACAACTTGTTTGATTTACAGACTGTTTCCTGTGAGGTTGATTCGATTTCTAAGGTAAAGTATAAAATACTAGTCGGCAGCTTTTAGTGAAAAAAGTTAGGTACAAACCATTAATTTGCCGCCCATTTTGTTTGGGGGGAGGTGGGAGTGAGGTGGGGGGGGGGGGGGGAGGGGGGGGGGGACTTTTCGGGCAAACCTTTTTTTTTCGCCAAAAAAAAAGGTTGAACATATTTTTCTTTAAAAAACGTGATACTTTTTTTTTCTTTCTTCAAAGGGGGGTTTTGTTTTTTTTCAACATTTTTAAATTGTTTTTTTTAGCGTTATTTTTTTTTTTTTGATGGTTTTGTAGGGGGTTTTTAGCACTTTTTGGGGGTATTGTATTTTTTTTTTTTTGTTATGGTTTCTTTGTGGATTTTATTTATTATGAAAGGAAAAAAAAAAAAAATAGGGGGGGGTTTTTGAGAAAAAAAATTTGAGGATAACACTATTTGGTCCGCCGTTTTTGGTGGGGGGGGGGGGGGGGGGGGGGGGGGGGGGGGGGGGGGAAGAGAGGCGTGACATTTCAGACTAACCATTAATTCTGCCTAAAAATAACAGTTGAACGTAATTTTCTCTCAAAACAGCTGATACTTTTCTTACTTTCTTCAAAGAGGGGTTGTCTTTCTTGCTAAGCATTTTAAAATAGGTTTTATAGCAGTTTTGCCCCGAATATGTGCCGCCCTCAAAAAACCTGAGATCCTAAAACTTAAATTAAGCCATGTTTCTGAGGGGCTTTCCCCAGTAGAATAAAAAAGGCAGATTTAATCGCTCTTTTCAAGTCGCGAGGCCCAAAAGCGCCGGCGTGAAGTTTTCGCGCAAAGCGTGGGATTAGCCTCAGCTCTCCCCATTATTATTCTCACTTTCACACTCGCTCCATACGGCCGCTCTTTTACAGCTTATCTTTCCAGTTTTTTCTGTTCGTCTTTTTTTGTTGCAGGAAAGCTTCTGGTATGTTTTTCGTCGTTGGCATTGCGGCTCTGTGTGCCCCTGGCCTCGAACCACTACCAAACCTGCTGCTAACTGGACATCTGTACCCCGGCTCTCTTATAAGGTAAAACAAATGAAAGTGATGCCTACCTGTGTTACGGTAATCTCTGTCGAGCCTTTTTGCGCATGGGATAAGTGACAACATCAAGCCCTGCACCAGAACCTTCCAGTGGAAAAGAAAAGAGGGCTACATGGCCAAAGCGGAAAATACGATAATATTTTTTGTTAAATAGCTGGCTGGAAATTTCTTCCCAACAGAGCGCGCTCTCATTGGTTACTTCGAGGTCACATGACATCTCACACTGAAACTGTTTCCCGCCAAAATCTCAGAGCGGAGTGAGCTGGCAACATTGCAAAATCTATGACGTCAGAGGGTAATAGTACACTGTTACCCGCGAATGTCGACCGAAGCAAAGTATTAAAATACTACGGTCAATACCCAGGGGTGATGTAAGGGTCCCAGGAGGGAAAACGTGCTACTTTATGGGGCCCGCGCGCCCATTTCGTAGCAAAACATACCAATGAAAATAGTTTAAAAATTTGTCATTGTTTAATGTTACGCCAAACACTTTGCCTTTAAGAGTGCACTTCTTATGTTCCTTTACTTTTTTTAAGGTTTCAACGCTGCGCAAAGTACGAAGACAGCACTGCTTGTCACTCATCGTTCTTGGAATTTTCCTACACCGTCTGGAATTTGACAAGAACTGGTCTTTTTGTCGTTATGTGTTGGACTCTAGACTGTCACGCCTGGATTCCACCACGGCGTGACTTCACAAGTATCGTTGAAAGATGCCTGGCGTTACACAACAAGACGTACTCACAGCTTTTGCTCTGTGCGGCGGGCCTTCCATTGCTGATGAATGGACATTGTCTGTCACAGACGGTTCACAATATACTCTGCACTGCAAGCCTGTTACTTTTTATGGTCACCTTGAACGGGTATCACAGCCGTACCGCGCTTATGACGTATTGCGCGTTATGTTGCGTAGCAATGAACGTTCAGAGCCTCTTGGTTGCAGTTTTCAATATCTATAGGAACTTACAGACTCAAAAGAACGGCTACATGGCAACTCTGTTGTATATTATGCAACTTTACTTGACGTTTTTGGTGATAATGGATAGTTGCACTCGGGTGATGAGCAAAGTGAAGAACCCGAAACAAGATATCTTGGGAGAAGACGGCTAATATTACAAGAAAATTCTACCACAAATACCGCCTGTTGACGGGTCCACTTTTCATGTGAAATCTGTCGTGAATCTGAAGATTTGTACCCAATCGTCTCATATCACTCGTACGCGTTAGCAGACTAGTACAGTCACGTGAAGAATGGCTCGACGGGAAGGAAACAAATGAGAGGAGACTAGTTTTCTTCTCCCTGTGTCCCATCTTCCCTCGCACGCGTTTTATTAGCGCTTCCCTTCGGAATATAATAGAGGAGAGGAGTGTGACGTCACATCACCATGGAAGCAAAATTTCTGGATCTCAGGAATCTTTCTTTGCAGAGACGGCCATCTGCATTGTCTAACGATGGAAGGAAAGTATGGGCTACCGTTTTGTTCCTAAGTGCAATCGTGCATAGGAAAGTAATTCACGTCATTTCTTTTCTTTTTTTTTTTTTCGTTTTTTCTGACATTTGCAAGACCACGGTTTGCTGATATCCAGAAATTTTGCTATCATGGGAACGTGACCCAACAACTTGTCCTCTAAAAAAAGAGACAAGAGAGAGGACTGAGGACTGTAAGAACATCAAAAGACGAATGATTTTTATTTGATATTTTATCGTTACACAGGGTGGAAAATAAACGGCTTTTGATCAGGCCACAAGGTTGATAAACGCACGGCTTTACCTCCAGTAACTCTTGCACGTTACCATGGCCTCAGAAAACAGCCGGCATGTCGCGAGGCCACCACGGGTTTGTCCGTGAGATGACGTCTGAGAAACGAGCGCAGAAATTCCATACTGATGAAACGTCACTTTCCAGATCTGGGTCGTGCTTCTGATTGGTTGGAACAAATTCCCTACTATACGTGGCACGAAAAATCAAAAACACAACCCAGATCTCCGTAGGGACGCGTCATCAGTATGGAATTTCTGCGCTGGTTTCTCAGATGTCGTTTCGCGGGAAAAACCAGTGGTGACGTCGGGGAATGTCGGCTATTTCCCCAGGTGGCAGATACAAAACTCAGGTCAACGGTAAGAAGTGCAGGTCACTTGGTCTATTGATAAATAGCTGTTTCCCCTTTAGCTAAAACTCTATTCTGGATCTTGATAAGGGGACACTTTTAGCACGGTGACCTGTACTCTAACCTGAACTTGTGACCTGCGCTTTTGTACCTGTCATTTTCTCAGGTTAATTTACCAAGGTCGGTAGTCTTTCAAGTAATATATCAAACATGAGACGCAGTGTTTCATCACCAGATGAAACACCGAGAAGAGAGTTGAAAATACGACGCGCAGCGGAGTATTTTTGGCGAACTTCGAACTTCGAATGTTTGATATTTCTTCTCAAACAAAATCATTTTTGAAGGAGAAATTAAGGATGCAAAAATGAGCAGTTTTTCATCTGATATCCAAACACTCATTAAACATTACTTTCCTTTGAATTTTCTTTATGAATTATTAATGAGTTTGAGAAGTAGACGTGCTGACTTTCTGGGTAATAGTATCAAAGACATCGTTTTCGTGTAACCAAACAAGTTATCATGCAAATTGATTGTTGGTGATTTGGCTAAAGAGAAATCACATGTCTTTGATGTAAACTATGACGCACAAGTCCCGTTTTGGGTTAATTACGTCACAGCACAGCACCCTATTAAAGATCATACACTGTGTAATCCCTCAGAATGAGTATTTAAAAAAAATCGACTAACTAAAAGGAACCTTCAATTAATTGCTTTTTAGTTGTCCATCAAGTAAGATTTCATTATAACTGTCTACCCGTTTTGTACAAATTGGTTTTTAACGCAAGGCATTGAACAAGGCGAAGGTCGCTTGATTCAATTCTTGTTTATTATCCTGCTTCAATTGTACAAAGTAACGTTTCCGTAATATTTGCAATTTACTATAGATGATTTTATATTGCAATAAATAAGCGTCATGCTAAACTTACTACTCTTTGTTCCTTTGAGGAATTCGCACTCTAAAAATATCACATTGTAGTGACCATAATAACAAAAACGAAGAAAGTTGGTGATAGACCAAGCCAGCAAAATACACAGTCTTCTTTGCTATAAGCAAAAATAAAGCCTTCCTGGCGTGCCATTTAGAAATTGGAAATAGACTTTAAGTACGCAACAGCTTGTGCCCACAGACACGCCGCGGCGTGTGACATGCGCAATACAACGGCAGCTCCTCTTAGAAGACAGACCCACGATAGTGTACCATTCATTGGCTAGGAAATAAATTTTTGAGCTCGTCGCTTTAAATAATAAGCAGGAAGTACGACATAACGCTAAACAACATTTCTATATAGCTATAAGCGCGGCCTTTTGGTTTGCTAACCTTTTGATATTCTATTAAACAGCAACGCTTTCAAATAATGGGTCAACCCTCTACAAAAACTCAACTATTAAGTAACTCTTTCTATAATTTGTGCCCCCCCCCCCCCCCCGCCCCCCCCCCCCCTTCCCTCATCCTTCCCCACCTCCACCATCCCCCGCCCTCCACCACACATCCCAATTATCCCTCTTCCACACATCTTGCACTAATCCCCCAGAATCACTCCTCCTCCTACTCACAGTCACATATGAAACTTGCATAAAAATAACAGCAAAAAACCCAAAACAAAACTTATATGTTGTTAAAGGGTGGCGTTTTGTTTTTTTATCCCTTGTTATTTTTATTAAAAAACAACGCATCACAAAAAAAGGGTAACCCCCCTCAAAAAAACAAACCTAAATAAACACTTTTTATAATTTTTTGCCCCCCCCCCCCCCCCCCGCCCCTCACTTATATCAAGCTAGTTTTTCATTTACATAAACAGAGGCATAACACAGGATCTAAATTGCATGTTTGGAACGATTTGGAAAGACCGATTTACACGGTACAACTTTCTCACACTAGATGCAGTAACGATGAAACATGAAGCACGATGAAGCACGACCTCAATCACATAAGATAAAACCTGGACAATTTAAAGTCAAATGTTGGGTAAATTTTGGACGCTCCGATTGGTTGCGTAAGGATATTGCCTGCTATTAAGTTGTACCGGGTGTAGATCGGCTGCTAATGATTGTTAAACTTGTCTAGGAACGTCTCATTAGGCACCCATACAGCTAGGCTGTAACTGAGGTTCATTTCATCTCTCCGTGTTGCATACCGCTGTGATCGTCGAGGTCGACCGACGAAATTTCCCGTACGTACGTAGGCTTGGGTGACGATGTAACCCCTCAGTCCGTCCCCACAGGCAATTTCTACTCTTCCCAGTTTTCGCTCGCCATAAAAATTTAGGATGGCAGCCTATCAAACTCGACGATTGACCACGACAATTCACCGAAAAACAGGGAACTTTGAACAGTCTACCCCGTGTTTGACATAGTATGTGTTCGATTGGAGAATCTAGATTTAGATCTTGAAACCGCGATTTCGGATTTTGCAATCGGAAGCGATATCCGAAAACGGATTTCAGCTTCGAGAAATCCGTCCTCAAGATGGATTTCAGTTAAGAAATCCAACCGGGATTTCCACCTCAACCGTTTGATTGGGAAATCCAAAACAAGGATTTGGAAAAAAGTTCTCGTGAACCGTGGTCTTTTTTATACTAATTATGCGTGCACGTGCAAGACCACTGTTCTTAACAACAGCAATTTAAATCATTTTCCGGATTCCTCCACCGAAAAAAGAAAGAAATGAAATTCAAGGACAGAGTTATTACCGTTGAAATCCGTTCTCGTGTTTCGCGTTTGAATGCAAATCCGAAATCCAGACTGTAAAATCTCAATCCGATTGCCCAATCGAGTACACCCAAGTTAATCTTTTTAATCCTACGCTAACTGCCGAACATCAGAATTTCAAACAACAAAAAACTCAAATTTCATTTGCTAAAATAACACAACTAGCCCCACACGAAAGTGTCACCTGAACGATCATTTCGTTGGATTTCCGCCAGACTCAATAGTTTAAAGGATATATTACGTATCTTCATTAAGCACTAAACGACTGGTAACAAAGGAACAAAGCTAACTGTTTCCCAAGCCGGAAGGGTTTAGTCATTAAAGTTTTGTTATACCTCCGGACTAAATTAATAAAACAAATAATAAATTTGTTTTTCGGTTATGAAAGCAAAAACAGTTATTTGCATGGCGCGACTGGCACATACATTTTCCGCGGTTTTAAAGTGCGTATCCTGATCACGTGCGGGCCTTATATTCCCCAGGGACACATGGTTGGTGAGCTTTGTTTGCTGCTTCGCAAAACTGACACGTGACATGTTGTTGTCCAACAAATTTGACTGTAGCAAGGAGAGGGTTAAATGTTATTTGTCATGTGAGGACGGTATTAACACCGTCTGCTGTTGGTGCCCTACTTCTCTGGTGCACGAATTGAAGTCATCTGACCCCAATTGGTCCTGCGTCAGCGGAAAACTTTAGCTCAAGATATGGAAATAATACTGAAACTATTCTTGCTATATACTCATCTTTTTTTTTGGAAAAAATAATTCAGTTATGTAAGATACGTATTTGGATTAGGTGACTGCTAAGGAAAAAAGTATCATTTTTTTCCCAACAACAGTCTTTTACGGAATCCTCACACCATAAAACTTTCGTGTTCATGCTCACTTTTAACAAAGTTGCCCTGGTAATGGACCCCTTTAGCTTGTATGTTAAGTGTTCCAAAAGCAAAGCAAATGATGTATTTTTTCATAAATTGTGTCCTTCAAATACACGTGAAGAAAATGAAATTAGAAGAAGATAAAAAAGAAGAAAAGACAAAAGACAAAAAAGGAAGGAAAGGGAAAAGACTGTTTTCTTGAGTAATATCACATGGAGCGCATTAGGAAAGCTAAAACATAGAAGCTAAAGAGGGCTATCACCCATTTCGCACATGAGCCCAGGTTGATGTTTTGTCGAATTGCAACATTACGATTTTGTTTTTGAGAACACTATTCCTTCCTCTATTGGCTATTACGACAAGTTTGCGTAGGAAAGTGCGTCAGATTTTGCCCCAGTAATAGTCCCAAGATGCA